CCTAGCGTGCAACTGTAGAATGTGGAGGAGCAGAGTTCCCCAATGTTTCCACTAAGTCACTGTGTATGTCTTTTGAAGACATTTTTTTCAAACAGAGGTACTTGATGACAGCTCTAATTTCGTTTTTCCCGTGTTGATGTTATCTCTTTGACATTTCTTATTCAAATGAATGTATCTCCCGGAAATCGTGATCTATGTATATGTTTTTTTTAGGCTGACGTAGTGAGTATATAAGCAAGCAAAAATATTTTTTTTTGGATTTTTATGCGGACCTGAAGTAACCGATTATCATTACTTTTGGATCACCCCTCGTATGTGGATATTTTGACATTATTCGCTCTTGCTGAAGAGATTGTTACATATTGTTTCTTCAGCAAGAGCGAATAATGTCAAAATATCCACATACGAGTACAAAATATCAAAAATACACGAAAAATACAAGTAGATTTTACAAGAATACCGAGATTTTTGTAGAATAAGGGTGACAAACAAGCACACAGTCCACCTCATGTTAAGTGGATGCTGTAGCCCATGGACATCCTACAAAGAAAAAAATACAACAAAGGCGAGTACTCATCAAGATAGATAGTGGCGAAAACGAAGGTAGTACCACACAAAAAAAATATCACTGCCCAGAATATAAAAACTCGTTGCTTTATTACTATCACAACTTATGAATAAAATAGTTAATTCATTAGGTATCGAAGGTAATGTATGGGCCTCGTAGCTAGAGCTACATCACTTATATATCTATCTATAACATGTTTCCAATGTCTTAAGGAGAAAGGAAGATAGGTTTATAGGTCTTAAGGACTTTGGTAAAGAGTAGTCCTTTCTAACAGTTTTAGGTATAAATAGCACCTTGACAATTGTCCATTGTTCTGGAATATATCCTCATGCAAAACAAACGTAGGGCTTTGAAAAAATTCAAGGCTGAAGTCTTGTCGTTGAATGTTTCTGTTTCACAATTAGTGAAGTTACCATATAGCTTTTTAGGAATCCCGATCTGATTAGGTTTAGCTTTCGATAGCATTTTGTGTAGTCTTGCACTGCGAAGTAAAGACTCAACTTCCTCGCATAGCTTCCTCCACGATGCTCTTTTGGCTTTCCTAATTTATATTATATTCAGTTAGGGCTGCACTATAAATAACCCACTTTTTGGTTTTCTTAGCCCTATTAAATAGTTTCCTGGTATTTTCCTAAGTTCTTTTAGCTTAGTATTCCACCAAGGAACCTTTCGCGTTGAGGTCTTGGTTTTGACAGGACAACTGTCTTCGAAGGCTTTACGGATACCTACGGTTACTTTCTCTGTCGCTAATTCCAGACCTTCAATTGTTTTGATGCTTTTAGGAAACTTTTTTTCCTCCAAAAATTCCTCCTCGGGCTATCTCTGTAGATATCCCAGTTTCATAGGTAGGTGATGCTCCAATCACAAACTTAACGTGCTTGTGATCAGATATCGAGTTTTCGCTACTAACATGCCAGTCATTTATCCGCCTGAACATGTTATTGATAGCAAAGGTTATGTCAAACAATTTTTGCCTAGCACGCGTTACAAAAGTTCATGTACAACCTAAGTTTAGGCTTACCAGGCGGTTCGAGGTGAGAAAACGATAAACTAACTCGCCTATTTCGTTAATGTTGGTGCTTCCTCAGGCTGTGTGGTGAGCATTAGCATCACAACCCACCAAAAGTTCGGCGTTGTGTATGCGGGCGAACTCCGCCACTCGCTCTAACTGGAGGATCTGCGTTCTTTCCGGGAAGATAGGCAAAGCAAATGATTACTCTGGCCCCTGTGCATCCTTTGAGATTTATGAAGGCTTAAATTTCAATATTTTTATTATATATCATAAAAGCTCTGGGTCTACTGCCTTTAGTATTGACAAGAATCTTATCGGCAGCCGCCAATCCTAGAACTTGACCGTTGGCCACCCAAGGCTCTTGTATAAGTGCGAGGTCAATGTTGTCCTATGCAAAGCGAACCTCCACCACGGCAGAAGCAGCTGCTGCATGGTGAAAATTTGCCTGGAGGACCCTCGTCTTACCCTTGGGTTTAGCCATTTACGGGCGTGGGGGGCAGGTGTGTTTTCGCCTGTTGAGGACGAGGACGTCCTTTACCTGCGCACTTGACCCCCGCTTTACCTTTCGTCAAACAGCTCCCACCTCCCCTTCCCACCCAGGCCTCGATGACAACAGCGGAGGCCGTCGGACCGAGGCGAAATCTGCGCCTTGAGTCTTCATCACTCTCACCGATGCCGTTCCAGCCTCACCCCGAAAGGTGAAGGGCTGGGGGGATTGGAGTTGGGGCGGTTTGGGCTCCATCGCCGCGTCATAGCTTACCCTGACTTTAAAAGTAGCCTTTTAAAGCCAAGGACGACTCTGCCGCCTGCCTTCCGAAGAGCCTCTGCCGATGGGTCGTCCAGAGAAAAGGTTATTAAGAACCCATTCTCCTCGTCCCTACGGTGGAGGATTCTCCAGAGCTCAGTAAGGAGCCCTACATTTTGTGCACTCAACAGCACAGCCGCCTCCTCTGGAGAGTCGGCTTCACTGTGGTGCAAGTAGGTAATGCCCAGCTATGGCTAAGGCAGTTCACCCTCGGGTATTACCGAGAGCTCTGCCTCCAGCCAGGGCTTCAGTTTTTGGATTTCACCCACAATCCAGTCTTGACTTGCCTTATTCAAGCACGTTACCAGAATCCAACCTTGCTTGTGGGTGAAATCAGAAATTTTGGACCCATTCCCGGATACGTTACACAGGCCGTCTTAGCGATGGCCTGTGTAAGTGCCCGGTGGACCAGCTGAAACTGCTCCACACTCATAGGATTCGAGTTGCAAATTCGTATACGCACGGAGCATTGCCGTGTAGTGGCGGTTGAGAATATCCACTACCCCATATCTTCCCTTGGGTGTCGTAAGAGGCGACAGAGGGAGACAGGCAGGAGATGGGCAGCAGCATCTTCTTGATAACAACTGTGACGTAATAAAAAAATTGCGGTTGCCAACCCGCTCGCCAAGCGTGGCAACTATAGCAAATATCCCCCCATGAGTCCCCGGCGGCCCCGCTATTCCTGGCTACGGTGGCGACCATGGTAACGGCGGGGCAGGGGGTGCTAAAAATCTCCTGTAGAGGTTCGGTTGCAACCTACGACGACTCGACCTGGCAACATATAACGCACGCACCCTGAGGACTGACGAGAAGATACCGGAGCTGGAAGAAGAGGTAGACAAGTTGCGCTGGCATATTATTGGATTATCCGTGGTCCGAAGAGAGGGGGAGGACACGGCAATCCTCGAGTCCGGCAACTTGTTCTATCACCGGGAGGGCGAACGTCTGTCACAAGGAGGTGTCGGATTTAGCGTCCACAAGTCTCTCGTCAACAACGTTGTAAAGATTGGGAGTGTGTCGACGAGGGTCGCGTACCTGATACTAAGAATCACCAAACGGTATTCGCTGAAGGTCATACAGGTTTACGCACCAACCTCGGCACATCCCGATGAGGAGGTGGAGGAAATGTATGAGGATATTTCCAGAGCCATACATTCCTCCAAAACCCACTACACGGTGTTGATGGGAGACTTCAACGCAAAACTAGGCACAAGAGAAACCGGTGAGCTGAAGGTAGGGAAATTTGGAGTAGGGCAACGGAACCGAAGGGGCCAGCAGCTGGCCGACTTTATGGAGAAAGAGGGACTCTTTATGATGAACTCTTTCTTCCAGAAGCGGCCCCCAGGAAGTGGACCTGGTCGAGCCCCGACGGTTCGACAAAAAATGAGATTGACTTCTTTATGACGACCAGACGCCAACTGTTCAGTGATGTCTCTGTGATCGCAAGGGTGAAAACCGGCAGCGATCACCGAATGGTTAGAGGCACACTGAACCTAAACGTTAAGTTGGAGAGGTCTCGTCTAATGAAGTCAACGCTCCGTCCAACTCGTGCTCTAATCCAGAATCCCGAATCCTTTCAGCGCGAGTTACGTAACCACTTTCAGTGCCTAGAAGATTGCAATGCAGTGGACGATATGAATGTCATTCAGTCGTGGAAACTGTCCATGCGGTCGGAGCTAAGTTCTGCAAGACTGCCGACAAAACACTCTCCGATCACACTCTTAATCTCATGGCTGTTAGACGGGAGATGAGGGTGCAATCGTCAACAGATTTGACAGCATACAGGCAACTGAACAGACAGATCTCCAAATGCATGCGGCGAGACTTACGCAACTTTAATACTTCTCGTATTAAAGAAGCGATCGAGCGGAACCAGGGCTCCAAAGTCTTTGCCAGAGATCTGTCTGCCAGAAAGAGCCAAATGTCAAAGCTGAAGACTGAGTGTGGCAACATCGTTTCCGGGACACCTGAGATTCTGAGTGAGATTGAGAGGTTATATGGGCAGCTGTACACATCATCGTTGGAGCCACACTCAAGTGTAGTAACGATCCAAGAGCAAGTCTTATCCGACACTATTCCGATGATATCCCGGACGTCAGTCTGAGCGAGATTAGAATGGCTCTCCAACACCTTAAAAACGGCAAGGCCCCGGGAGAGGATGGAATTACAGCGGAGCTTCTGAAAACTGGTGGAACACCGGTACTTGAAGTTCTTCAGAAGCTCTTCAATTCCGTCCTCGATGGCGGCACTACTATGGAGGCGTGGAGCAGAAGCGTGGTGGTTTTGTTCTTTAAGAAAGGCGACAACGCTCTCTTAAAGAACTACAGACCGATTTCCCTTCTGAGCCGCGTCTACATGCTATTTTCGAGAGTCATTACGAATCGTCTCGCACGCAGACTCGACGAATTCCAGTCTCCCGAACAAGCCGAAAAGGCTTCAGTACCATAGACCACATACATACCCTGCGGCAGATTGTACAGAAGACCGAAAAGTACAATCTACCGCTTTGCCTGGCATATGTGGACTATGATAAAGCCTTTGATTCCGTCGAAGTTTGGGCGGTGCTACGGTCCCTTCAGCGGTGCCAAGTTGACTGTCCGTATATCGAGGTGCTGATGTGTTTGTACAGTAGGACTACGATGGCTATCCGAGTACAGAACCGGAGTTCGAAACCTATCCAACTGCAGAGAGGTGTAAGACAGGGTGATGTTATATCCCCGAAACTCTTCACCGCTGCTTTGGAAGACGTTTTCGAGCTACTGGACTGGAAAGGATACGGTATTAACATCAATGGCGAATACATCACTCACCTTCGACTTGCCGACGATATAGTCCTTATGGCGGAATTGCTGGAGGACCTTAGCACTATGCTCAATGACCTCAATGGTGTCTCCCAACGGATAGGTCTTAAGATGAACATGGACAAAACAAAGATCATGTTTAATGTCCATGTCACACCTATGCCGGTAGTTGTTGGGGGCACTATGCTCGAAGTTGTTGACGAGTACGTTTATCTGGGACAAATAGTTCCGACTAGGTAAGTCCAACTTCGACCGAGAGGTCAATCGACGGATTCAACTCGGCTGGACAGCGTTCGGGAAATTACGAGACATCTTCTCGTCAGGTATACCTCAATCTCTGAAAACTAAAGTGTACAACCAGTTCGTGTTGCCAGTGATGACTTACGGTATCGAGACGTGGTTCTTCACTGCTGGCCGTATAAAGACGCTCAAGGTCGCTCAGCGAGCTATGGAGAGGGCTATGCTCGGAGTTTCTTTGCGTCATAGACTTAAAAATGAGGATATCCGCTGTAAAACCAGAGTGACCGACATAGCCCAACGGATTAGTGAGCTGAAGTGGCAATGGGCCGGCCATATAGCTCGAAGAACCGACAACCGTTGGGTAAGAAAGGTTCTCGAGTGGCAGCCTCGTACCGGTAGGCGTAGTGTAGGGCGACCCCCCACTAGATGGAGTGACGACCTGGTAAGACATGCAGGAAGTCGATGGATGCAGGTGGCTCAGGACCGTGCTTTGTGGCGTTACTTGGGGGAGGCCTATGTTCAGCAGTGGACTTGTGAAGGGCTGTAATGATGATGATGATGATGATACGCGCGGAGCAAGCTACGGCACTGAAGCTGAGCTTCTTCTCCCCCGTTGCCAGTTTTACAGACTTCCTGGGCTGGTCTTTGGGGGATTCTGCCTCAGACCGCGTTTGCGCTTTTTTTGCGTTTTTTCGCCTTCAGAACTGGGTGAGGCTTGGGCAGAGGAATTACGTCCCAGGTCTTCTGGCAGAGAGAGAGGGCCTCTTCGGCTCCTATCTCAGCTGCTATCAGCCTTCGGTACCTTTTGCTATTATAATTTATCAAATGGGTAACATACATAATATATAATTTTTAAAATACATTAAAACTTTTACAACAATTTTTACCTACAATTATATATACTAAACACTAAACAAAAACAATTTCAACAAGTATTTACATAAAACGATTTACGTAAACAACGTTAAATTTTTTTTAACATTGAATCGCCTACAACGCGCTAGCCCTGACTGCGTTATTTCGCCCGGGCGCGTCGCGATTTTAGGTAATTATTTCATGCAGATAGCAAGAGTGACAAAGACCTGCCAGAAGTTAAATGAATCCAAATAAATAAAAAAATTGCAAGCGCATCAGCCAGAAAGCTTATAAGACCCAGCGAATTTTTTCTTTTCCCCTCCCTGGTTCGTTTCCGATTGTGGTTGGGCTGCAGACGAGCCCTCTACTTCACGGCTCGTCCCAGGTTAGGGTGCAATGTTGCAGGGTATTCGTGAGGCTAAAAGAGCCTCTTCCAAACCTACAGCTAGTTCCATTATGTATTTTCCAAAATGTTGGTTTTCGCCCATTTTGTTCCCACAATTAGCTAGGAAAATACTCGGTCACCCCCGGCAGAGCTCCACATGCCGAGGAAAGGCTAAAATACTACCCGAATTGCCCTGGTCTCGGGTAAGCACCGTTTGCGACTGGACTCCCTCCAGCCACGCATCCATCGACAAGGCACGCTTGATACCTTGGATTGGGTTAGGATAGGAAAAGGGGGTGGGATAAAAGAAAATAAAAAGGGGATCGTCCGAGTGTTTCTGTTCTGTCTGTTTCCTATTGAACTATACCAAATAACAGGCGGCAACCACGTGAAGGGGAACTCCTCAGACTTGCCCTGGCGATCAACACGACCTGCGTTCTCCCCCAGAGCCATACGTCAAACCGAGAGACAGGAGAGCAGTATAGGTGTTAATCTAGTCCTATTTATAATATCAAAAAGTTAGGAGTAGACTAACTCCCGCCCCTTTTTTTAATTTTTTTTATAAATATTTAATAAAAAATAATAGTTCGTATAATACCTAGAAAGCGTACACTTTGATCCTACCTTTACCATTCACTAATCACTACGGGCCCGAGAACTTCGCTATGCATCGAGCAAATGGTACCGAATAAATTGCAAATGGCATCCTAAGAAGATGAAAACGTGATAAATATGTAACTTGTACAAAACACCAAAAGTAATTAATTCATGTCGATCCTGCATATACTAATACGAAGGCAGCACTGAAAATTTCGGGAATCAAGGAAGTGACACAACATTACTATTTAAAAATGTATTTATTGCTTTTTGAAGTATTCTCCCCGAAATTTGACACATTTTTCCATACGATGGAACCAATCATTGAAGCAACCATTCCATTCGGAAGTTGGGGTCTCCAAAATGGCCGTTTTGTAGGCGTCCACAGCTTCTTCAGGTGATGAAAATCTCTGTCCACGCAATTTATTATTTATTTTAGGGATAGTTTAGAAATCATTAGGGCTTAGGTCGGGGCTGTACGGCGAATGGTCTAATAATTCTATGTTTTCTTGCTCTAAAAACTCTTTTATTCTGTGTGCGGTGTGAGAACTCGCTTTTCGTGATGGAAGATGATGAGGCGGTTGCAGTTCTCTTTACGGAGTTCAGAAACGACCTGTGGCAAACAAATGCTAGCATATCATTTTGCATTAACCGTTCTTTGTCCCTCAAGAGGAATAGTCGTAACATGGCCGGTTTTGGAGATAAACGTGGCTGCCATTTTTTTTACAACACTCCGTGAACGAACAATTTTTGTTGGCTTTAACTCATTTTCGAACACCCAAACTCGTGACTGGTTTTTTGTTTTGGGTTTATACGCGTATATCCAGGATTCATCACCTGATACGATGTTTTATACAGCATTTGAGGATCCTTTTTTTTTTTTTTTTTTTTTTTTTTTGCGGATGGAAAATCATCTAATGACCCCTTTCGCTCTGGGCGGAGCGTAAGGGAGTGTCAGACTTTTTACTGACTAAAAACCATCCGTGTTCCTTCAGTGCCCTTACGTTCCGGAGCCGCGGTATCTCTTTCGAACAGCCCGCAGCCCCGGCAGGCGTCGGCCCTTGCGGGCCCCTTCACGCTGCTGACAGCTCTTTGAGGCGCGCGTGGAACAAAACGCGCCGTCGACACGGCCTGTCGTCATTAGACGGACGGACGACGAGCTACCCATTGCTCGCCGTTCACAGGCCCGCGCCTACGGTGGCCGGGGGCCACGACGTAGCCCCCGACGCCCGGGGCGTCTCCCGCGGCGGCCGGGGAGGAAAGCTGCTGCTCTCTCCTTCTACCGCTCCGCCACCTCCTTCGCCAGCATCACTGCTTCGCAGAAAGTGGTGACGGCATCCCATTCCGTCTCGCTCCGGACCATGGCTTCGACCAGGGCTGGACGCGAGAGGTCGCCGCCGCCTATCGCCGCTACGAGGACACGGCGGTGCTCCGCCCAAGCAAGGCACACCTCCACGGTGTGTTCCACCGTGTCCTCCGGTCCATCCTCGCAGTGGGAGCACCCGGGCGTTTCCTCCCGCCTGATTCTGTGCAGGAACCTCCCAAATACACCGTGTCCGGTGAGGACCTGCGTCAGGCGGAAGGTGAGGATGCCGTGGCGTCTCTCAAGCCACTCCTCAAAGAGGGGTCTTATCGCCGCTATAGTGGCGTGCCCAGCACGGGGTTGCGACAGTCGCTGTCTCCATGTCGCCATGAGATCGTGCCGGAAGTCTGTCCGCTGCGCGACAACTTGCCGCGGCAGCGGGGTTTCCCCACGGCATAGTGCCTCCGCACGCCATTCGTGCAGGCGCGCGAGGACTATCGCCTCCAGATCCCATGGCGGCAATCCGGCAAGGAGGCTCGCCGCCTCGCGGGAGATCGTGCGGTAGCCGCGAACCATGTTCACGGCTATCACCCTTTGGGGCGCGTTCAGGTGGTGGACGGCAAGCCACGCCAAACCACGCGCCCACACCGGGGCCCCGTAAAGGGCCATGGACCGCACGATCCCCGCGTAGAGCCTCCGGCAGGAGGCGTTTGGCCCTCCCAGGTTCGGCAGGAGCCGCCTGAAGGCAGCCGCGGTCCGTTCCAGTTTGGGAGCCAAACATCGGAAGTGCTCAACGAAGTTCCATCGGCCGTCGAGGACGAGTCCTAGGTACTTCAGCGTCGACTCGACGTCGATGGATACCCCTCCTACCATCACTGAGGATCCCGGTGGTGGCCTGTTCCGAGGACCATGGAAGTGCATGGCCTCGGACTTGTGCAGAGCCACCTCGAGACCCAGTTGCCGAATCCTCTCAACGACTATCGCAACCTCGCGTGTCATTTTTTCCGCCGCCGCCTCGTACGACCCCCCTTGTGCCAGTACCAGCGTGTCGTCAGCGTAGCAAACTACGCTGACGCCGGTAGGGAGGTCGGCGCGCAGCACCCAGTCGTAACCGATGTTCCACAGAGGTGGCCCCAGAACCGAACCCTGTGGGACACCGCACGACATCTCTCGCCGGTTCCACTCACCGTTGCGACCGGGGTAGATGACGGCCCTGTCCGTCAGGTAGTCCCCGACTATACGACGGAGATGGTCGGCACCCGGTGATACCGGAGTGCCTCCCTAATGCAGCTCCAGGGCATGGAGTTGAAGGCGTTGGCGATGTCGAGAGACACCGCCAAGACAACCCCCCTCTGGCCACTGCATCCCCCGTCGTGAGGGCTCTCACGCGCATGATGGCGTCCACCGTAGAGCGCCTCTTGCGGAAACCAAACTGGTGTTCCGCAAGATCCGGCCCCGTTTCCGCAAGGTGCTCGGCGAGGCGGTTTGCAATAACTCTTTCAAAGAGCTTGCCCACCTCGTCGAGCAGCACCACGGGCCGGTATGCGGACGGAGAGTCCGCAGGGCGCCCCGGCTTCCGAATGAGGACCAGCTTCCCCGTCTTCCAACGAAGCGGGAATTGGCCTCTCTCCAAGCATGCGCTTAGGAGCCCCTCCAGTCGGGGCCCGAGAGCCTCCGAGGCCAGGACCCAGGCTTTGCCAGGCAAGCCATCGGGTCCTGGGGTGGTATTCCTGGCCTTGAGCCTACGTACCGCCACTCTCAGGTCTACCCCGGTCCCTTCCGGGATGTCGTCGTCGTCGTCCTGGTGGTCCGCTTCCGGCACCGCAAGTGGCGGAGCTATAGGCGGGGGCGGATTTTCCC